ATCTCTTTCCTTCCTTGACTAACCTGTGTTGCTTTTTAACAGATCATTTAGGGCCTGGATGATGATTCAGGTAATCAATGCCTAGCTGCCCTCTAAATCCATCCAGCTTGACATACCTTGTAAAAGGATAAAAGTTAAAAAAAATATCCACAAAGGAGTCCTTGCCCTCAAGGACCTAAGCTTCTATGAAGGCATATAACATGTACATAGGCAAATATAAGGTAATTTGAGGAGGGAGAGAGGAATTATTGGGGGTGGAGGGAAAGGGAGTTATCAAGGAAGACTTCTGTAGAAGGTGGCACCTGACATATACCTTCAATGGAGACAGATTCTGAGAGACTGTGCAAGTGAGAAGTGAGTATATTCCAGATTGACACGGTAGAAGTTTGTAAGGTAGAAATGTGGAGGTGGGGAATGAAATACTGAGTTCAGGAAACAGCTAGTCTAATTAGGCTGGTACATAAAGTGGATGGATGAGAGAGGTAGGAATGAAACGTCTAGAGAAGTGGACTGGAGCCAGATCACGTATAACTTTGTAACCCTCATCACTCCATGGCCGCTTGGGGAGCAAGCGTAGTTCTAGATATGGACAGAGGTTCAAAAAGCTGGGATGGAAGATCTGAAGGTCAATGCCTGAGTGAAAGAGGTTTTCAGAATAGATCTCAGGAGTCTTTGATCGCAAATAAGAGGAGAAACATAATGGGAAATAGAATAGAAACAGCCCACCCAACTGCTTAAGCTTCACTAAGATTTGATGGCAAGGCCATGCACCTTTTGGAGAATGATTCAGATCCAGATGTGGGCAGTCATTGCAATGAGATGATCAAGGAGGGAGTGATTGGGAGCTAAAGGAGCAGAACAGGGTCTAAGTAGAAACACTAGAAACAGAGCTCTTGTGAAAAGGCAAATGAATTCCTATACTGGATACATACAGGTTATCAATTTTATTAATCCCTACAGTCCATGCTTTGGGGGAATGATGCAAAGAGATGGCTTGAATTGGGAGATTAAAGCTTGCATTTTTATGAATGGGAGAAAGAGCTTGTAAGAGAACAGAATTGCCCTTGGTGAATCAAATGATCCGGTTCAGATGAACTTTATCCTTGGATATCAAGTTAAATCAAGTCAATAAGCATTTTTTTAGCACCTACTATATGCTGACATTTAGCACAGTACTCAAGTACATATCCCAGTGACTGAAATACTGCATAAATGTTTACTAATTGATTACCAGGTACTGTGCACTAGGGATACAAAGAAAGGCAAAAAAAAAAAAAGTAAAAACAAAAACAAAAAAACCCCTAGCAAAACAGTATCTGCTTTCAAGGAGCTCACAGTCTAATGAAGAAAAGAACTACTATACTGTCAAGCTATACAAAGGATAAATTGAAGATAATCTCAGGGTGAAAACACTAGCCTTAAAGGGCTTAGGAAAGATTTCTTATGGAAGTTGGGATTTTAACTGAGACTTGAAGGAAACCAAGGAACATAAGAACAGCCAGTAAAAATGCAGAATTGTGAGATGTGTTGGGGGGTAGGAAATGAAAGGAAACTAGTGTCATTGAATTACAGAGAGGTAGAGGGGAGTAAGACTGAAGAAGACTAGAAAGAGACCAGGTTATGAAGGGTTTTAAAAGCCAAACAGAGAATTTTACACTTGATCCTGGAGGCAATAGGGAAGCCCTGAGATTTATTGAAGGGGTTGGGGAAAGGGGAGGTATAAGTGGTCAGACCTCTGTTCTAGGCAGATTACTCTGACAGCTGAGTGAAGGATGCTCCAGGGTGGGAAGGGAATGCTGAAACGAATTGCTAGGCCATTGCCCCTCATATGTGGAAGGGCATCAAGCTACCACAGGATTGGAAACAGGTAAAGTAAGAGAGAAAAGAATAGTATGTAAACTATAGGCCCGTGAGCTTAATTTAGATTCATAGCAAAATTCTAGAATGGATCTAAAGAGATGGTTAGTGAACGTATATCAGAAGAAAAATTTCTCTCAAACAGCCAGCATGACTTTAACAAAACAGATCATATCAGATTAACCTGTTTCCTTTTTTAACTGCATCACCAAACAATTAGATCAGGGAATGCTGTATTTGACCAACAAAGTGTTTGATGAGGTATTTCACAGAATCTTGTGGAAAAGATGGAGACATGTGGACTAGCCCAATTGGCAGCAGTAGGTGACATACTCCATAAAACACACCTATTGGGCATTTCAAATTGGACGTCCTTTCAGCATCTGAAACTCAACACATCTAAAACAGAACTCGTCTTTTCCCCAAAACAAACCTTTCTTCTGAATTTCCCTATTTCAGTCATGGATACTATCATACTTCCAGTCATGTAAGTTCATAACCTTAATGAGTCAACCACCATTCTTCATTCTCCCTCACCCAATGCAATCAGTTATCAAATCCAAAACATCTCTCCCTCTATGACCTTTCTTCTATTCGCCTGACCATCACTCTAGTTTAAACCTTCATCAGCTTTTGCCTGGACTATTCCAATTGCTTCCTAAATTACTTATCTACCTCAAAAGTACCCCTTCTCTAATCTAGCCTCCATACAGATGCCAAAATGATTTTCTTAAAAAAACAAACAAAAAACAACAGTGTGAAAACGTCAGTCCCCTAGTTAACAAATTCTAGGGGCAGGTAGGTGGGGCAGTGGATACAGTCCTGGCCTTGGAGTCAGAAGGACCTGAGTTCAAATTTGGCCTCAGACACTTGACACTCACTAGCTGTGTAACCTTGGGCAAGTCACTTAACCCTGATTGCCTCAACAAAAATCATAATAATAAATTCTATTGGCTCCCACTACCTCATATTAAATTTAAAACTCTTCTGGTTAGTATTTAAAGTTCTTCACTACCTGGCTCCAATGAACCTTTCTAGTGTTTTTATGTATTACCTCCACCTCCTAAACTCTTCAACTGAGCCAAACTGGCCTTCTCACACAGCATATCCCTTCTCCACACCTTGGTTCTTGCTGTCCCTCATGCCTAGAATGCACTCCTTCCTGAGGCTTCTCACCTCTGCTTTTTAGAAATCCCTCTTTATCTTCAAATCTTAGGTCAAACACTGCCTTCCACATAAGGCTTTTCCTAATTCTCCTACCAGCCTTTCTCCTAAAACTGCCATCTATCTATCTATCTATCTATCTATCTATCTATCTATCTATCTATCTATCTATCTATCTATCTATCTATATCTATAGATGTATACACTATATCTCTCTCTCTATAGTGTGTGTGTAGCATGTAGTGTGTGTTTTGTGTGTGTGTGTGTATAGCATTATATCTGGCACATAGTAGTAATTTAACAAGTATTTGTTGATTGATTGATTTGGCTCAATCAAAAAAATGATCAAGATGGTGGAAGTATAGTTAGGCAGCAGTTTGCATGAAAAAAATCTAGAGGTTAAGTCAATAGACTCATAAGAAGCCAGAAAAGCTAAGGGAATCTTAGACTCCATTGAAGGAGGCATGGCTCCCATGAGTACAGAAGTTAAACTGTACTCTGACCTTGTCTGCTCACATCTGGAGCATTTTGTTCAGTTCTGACTATCACAGTTTAGAAAGGGCATTAATAAATTGTAGAATGTTCAGAGGAATACAACCAGAATGGTGAAAGGTCTCCAGCACACATTCTATGAGGATTTGTTGTTGGAGACAGAATTGTTTAATTTGGGCAGGAGGGGAGACATGACAGCTGTCTTCAAGTGTTTAGTTGTTTTGTTCGTCTCCATGGATGCTGGGTGGAAGTTCCCAATTTAGGCTTGATTCAAGGAATAACTTGCTAACTAATAACTAGAGTTATCCACAAGTGAGAAGGGCTGTCTTTCGAGGCAGTGGGTTTACACTCAGTAGAAATCTTCAGGCTTGGGCTGGTTGATCACTTGCCTTACTGGTTGTAGTGGGAATTCTTTTTTCAGTTTCGAGTTGAATTAGATAGCTACTGAGGTCCCTTCCAAGTCTCGAAGTCTGTGCTTTGTAATAAAAAAGACAATGTGGCACTGAAGTTTGCCTTTTTTCCTTTCCAAGGGGAGGAAAAAGATTTAAAAGGCAAATTAATTGTAAAAATAAGGTATTGAGAAGAAAGTTCCCCCCCACTTAAAAGTGAAGACCAATACGTAAATGTTGTCAAATTCACTCAGTAGTATTTTTATAGTGTCCACTGTTATCCAATCTATGCCCCAATTGCATATTATTTTTATCTATTAATCCAAGAAGAAAATGAAGGCAACATTGAATGGACTGCTTTTCATCTGAAAGAAAAAACCTTAATTTCAGTTAAAATATTTCCACTTTGAACTTTTCACTTATCTCTCTGAATTGTTTTAAATTCTTAATTAATGAGATGTTTCCAGTTCTTGTTGATGTATTCAACAAATACTATCTTAAGGTATAAATGAAGCAAGGAAGAGTTCTACATTGAAGGACTCCTTGCATACCCAATAAATTTGAAGTGGGTCTAGATGACTCAGGCAAAATAGGATTTTAGCTTACTTAATTACTAGGCAATGGTGGACCTTCTTTGGTTCACCTAAGAAATTGGATAAAATACAATCAATCCTATGTGTAAAGCATTTTCTGGATCACACTTGGAAACAGGAAAATAAACTAGTTGGTTTGTTTTAGCATACAATGCTGACTCAACCACCTGTGTTACCTTGGACAAGTCACTTCTCTTTTCTGTGCTTATTTTCTCAAACGAGGTCAGGTGTAAGTTTCATGATCCCCACTCATGGTGTATTGGGATGTGGGAGGTTGTAGTTAAATTCAAATGCTATTTTGCTTGGACTCTAGCAAACCATCACTAAAGTTCTGTCGCAGCTTATTAAACTAGTAAAAGAATGGTGGTTAAACAATTTCACAGTATTGTCAGAGGGATGAGTAAAATAGCTTTTACTTTTTTTATCAATGTCTAGCATTATTATAATACACTGTGTACATAACAGTACATATAATTTTAATCATTTAGTGGATTTCATGGTAAAGGAAATTGAAAACTTTATAGATTTTTAAATAATTAAAATTTTAATTGTGTGAATTGTAGGTTGGAAATAGAAACATAATCCAAGAAGAAAGGAAGGGATGGATGGCCTTAAGCTGAAATCAAGTTCCTTGCCCAGAAAGCAAAAGATTACAGAGAAACAGGATATTAAAACATTTCTATTTCTGTTATTGGGTTTCGGAGTCCAGAAATCTGTTTCGCCTCCTTAGCATGGATTGAATAAAAAATAAGGCAGGCATATTATGTAAAAGCAAAAACCATTATTATATCAGAGCTAGTATTGGATGCTACAAAAAAAAATTTAACTTGCAGCCCTCGGTTCAAAGGAATAACTCGGGGGGGGGGAAGAACAAAAGAGGAGACAGGATTGGAAAAAAAAGGCTATTAAACTAGTTATTCTGATTAGGTGAATACAAGTCACTTTTGTTTGCTTGTGCCCTGTATGGTTTGCGCCCTGCGGGCGATTTTTTTTGTTTTTTTGGACCGGCTAGCCAATTTGGGGGCTGACTTAAATGTGTATGTGTGCGTGCGGGTGTCTTAAGACTGTGGTTGCAGTTCAAATGTTTGTGTGTATGCGCTTGTGTTTTAAGACTGAGTGTGGTTGCAGCTCAAGATTTATGCCTTCGTTTGGAGCAAAGGGGCATGAAATAAGAGACGGAAAGTGGCATGGGCTCTGAGGCAAACATTGAATCTTAGGTGTTCGAAGACTCAGAAACAAAGACCTGCCTCCTTTCTTCATCTGAGCGGACGGACTGGCACCTTGCATACGCTCTGTTTGGGTATATTTTTTCCCCTTTGGAAGCGACTGTTTCTTTCTAACCCTGGCACGGGACGGAGCCAGTGCTACAGTCATCCCAGAAGCTAAGTCTGAATGAAAGCTGAATGTCAATGAAGCCGGGGCTTAGCAGGGAGGGGACCGTAGCCAGCCCATAAAGGCAGACACATGATGGGAGAGTCCGAAGACTGCACGTTCTTTTCTTTCTCCCCCACCTCGCAGCTCTGCTAAGGAACCCATGCCCAGCCCTGAACGACCACCAATTGTTCTCTCGGGGTACCCACGTAGTGCACGTCTCCTTCCTCGCGGGGAGTGGGGGACCATTCTTGCTCCTACTGCAGAAGGCAGCAGACCCCGGGGCCCGGAGGCGCCAGTCTGATTCGGGATTGGCATCTGCTTGGATCTGGTGCAGCTCGGGTCGGCGGAATCCCGTCGGGGGCTCACCCGCATCTGCCCAGGGAGGAGGCTCTGCAGCCGGGATGCGCCCCGCAGCCCGCCGCCGCCGCCGCCCGGGACTCGGGGCTGCCCCTGCCAAGGGGAGGGTGTGCCCGCAGTGTTAGGGCGCAGCGAGGCAGGGGTCCCTCCGCCGAGGCTTAGCAGGCGCAGCCGTCGGGGGCAGGTAGACCCTACGAAGAGGCAGCCACATGTGCCGGGAAGCAGCGGCCACAGTTTGGACTCAGAGCTCGGGACTCAGCTCTCCTCCCTGACCCCGGCGTCTTTCCTCTTTTGGGAAGCTCAGATCCCCTCCTGCAAGCCCCGCCCTTCCTCCCCCCCTTTCCTTTGGCTGGTTGCAGCACCCGCTTTTGTGCCCGTGGTTGCTCTCCTTAGCAGGCGGCGACGCCCGGGGACAGGAGCTTGCTAATATCCCGGGCTCAAAAGCGTTGCTCTTTTCCCTGCCTCCTCTGGAAGCTTTTTGTCCCCGCCAGGCCTCCGTGCCGCGCGGCACGAGAGTGTGAGTGTGTGGTTGAGAGCGCGTGGCACGAGGGGGAGGGGCGGACGTTGAGATGGGCGAGACCATGTCCAAGAGGCTGAAGCTCCATTTGGGAGGGGAGGCAGAAATGGAGGAGCGGGCCTTCCCCAACCCCTTTGCGGACTATGAATCCGCCTCCGCTGTGGCAGTTGCCGCCGGCGTTGCTGCCGAAGAGCCTCCCCAACCCGTCGGGAATAATCTGGGCCTCCCATTTCACGGCGACGGGAAGGTGAGTAGTCCCGGCCCACAAGGAGCGGCCCGGGAAGGGAGAGGAGGCAGGGGAGCGCGGCAGGTTGGTACGGTCCGACTGCTCCGCCCCTTTTCGTGAGTCAGAACACCCGCGCGCGGTCCCGCGCATCAGCCCCTGGCTGGCTTTCGCGGACGCGGCGCTGGCGTCACTGTCTCCTAGTAACTGGGCCTCGCCGCTCAGCTGGAGCTTGGGCGCTTGCGCAGCTCAGGCCGCCCGAAGCATCGTGGTTGGGGAGTCCATGCCCTCCCCGGGGAACCTTCCAAGGCCCATGCCTCAGCTTCCAAAAACATGGGCTCCTACTGTCTCTCACCCTCCTCGTTTTAGGTCCCAGCTCCTTAGATTCGGAAAATTGGGTTCAGAGCCGCGGGCGGCAGCTGCATTTTTAACCCGCTGGTTTTAGATTTGGAAAAAGGAGGAGCAGGGAAGTGGGGAGTGAGCAAAAGGGCGCCGCAGGTGTGAGCAGCCTGCAGATAGGATTCCTCGTGCGGTCCCCCCAAGTTTGCGAGGGTTTTGTTCGGGCCTGTTGGATTTCCCACCTCTTTTATGTTGTGCTGCTTTCTCCTATGCTGACCCATTTCTCCTGAAAGCCAAAGCTGTCGGAAGGCAGGTGTTGAGGCAGGTGATCTCAGTATGCGGCTTTAGCTGAAGGAACTACCCTGCTCTTCCACAAACCTTGCGTGGCTTCCTGGGGTAGTTGGGCGGTTAAGATTTCGCTGTGGTTGACTGTTTTAGCATCCATTCCCTTTACTTCTTATTCTAGGGAAGCCCTTAGGGTTCCCCCAACCCCTCACCCGCAGTCCGTCAAATGATGACCAGTTAACCCCCAAAGAAGAAGCATTGTAGTACTGAAATCTTGACGTTAACATCTGATCATTTTAAAGAAATAACCTTTTATCCCTGGACTAGTAGGCATTTAATAAATGCCGTATTGTACAATTGTGTCTCTTTAGCTTTACCACTCCTTTCACATCCCTATTTGTTGTTCACATGTGACATGGTATTCTGATCCAACAAAAATCTTTATCCTTATTTATCAGAAAGGAAAAATTTCACTAGTCACTCCTTCCCTCCTTCCCCCTTTTATACTCAGGCATACTGAACGAGGCTATTTGCATTGATACTTTTTTAATGATTTTTTTTGATATTTTTGTTACATTATTTGTACTTTACAGTGTACCTCCTCTCTCCCAGAGACTTGACCCTTATAACAGGGAGGAATAAAAGAGAGAGAGAGAGGGGAAAAGAAAAAACAAAACAATTTGGCAAAATTAGTCAACTTATCAAAAAAGGGTGAGACATTGATAATCTCTTAATTCCATGGTTCAGATTTTTTTTTTTAAAGCTAGATATTGGCTAAAATCGTGTGTAACTTTAACAGCTTACTGAAGTCAGGAGACCTGGACCCTACTACTTTGAATAACTCCACTTCAATAACTTGTTTTCCTCACCTTAAAGTTATGGGTCTGGAAGCTAAGCCATTTTCAAGAATCTTCCCTTCAGAGTTCAGATCAAGTAGAACTTTTTACACAGAGCCTTTCCTGATTCCTTCAAATAGTGACCCTAAAGTGAATCATTTATCTTTATTTCTGTACAAGTTTTATTCCCCCTAGTGAAAGGTAAGCTCCTTGAGGGTAGAGAGTGTTTCATCTTTGTCTTTGTATCCTAGTTTATTAAATTGAATTGAATTGAATTTGTTCAAGATAGATGATCGTGGTTTTGTAGTAGTTTTCATTAACCTTTTTTCTGTAGGTAAATATTATTTTCGTTTCTTGAGGTACTGATTTTACACTTTTAAAAGAATTACAATTTTAAAGGAAGATTTAAAGATTGCAGTTATGTTTAAATTATGAGTAGATTTCTCATTTGGAAGTTGTTTGGTATATTTTGTAATCCTTTTCAGGTTTAGCACTAGCTGTTTTAGAGGGGGAGCTAGCATCAAAATGGCTGATTCATTTTGACAGGAGCTGGAATAAATGATAGGATTCCTGTGACTTGTCTGGGAGGTATTTTTAAAATGCTTTCAGCTTGAAGAAGAAAAAAAAGTCTTAAAATATGTTTATGTTTTTGATCACAAAATTTAATATAATTTTAAAAGGTTCTCTTATTATGGCCTTCTATTAACAAACTAGAAAATTGGATCATTTAGTGTAGATTTATTAGGTATCTGGGCATTTGTGTATAATCTGTGTATAGATGGTACTTGAACCCATGGGATCAGATGACATGGACCAAAATTCTTAATATAATTTGTAGGAATATAGCGCCAAGGACAGAGTCCTGGGACCCCCCCCCCAACAGTTTTTTTTTTTAGGGGGAAAGACAGCAAGGGAGGAGGGGGGTGGGGGAAAGCAAGAGAAATAGATGTAGAGATAGATAGGTTTGGGCCATTTCTATGGCAGTTTCTCAATGATTGGTATATTCAAATTAGGTTAGATTTTCAAAGTGATGGTATATTATGAACTTCATATTGGTCATGTATATATTCTGAGAAATCGGAACCAGGGGAAAATGAGTGGTTGAAGATGAAAATGAGAATTCATATCAGAAAAAAAGATAGTAGGTGGAAAAGAAAGATATTCTGATTAAAGACATTAGTCTATCTATATGGATAGTATTTTAATTAACAAAAGATTTCTCTATTTTTAATTCATGAAATGTTGAAAATGAAGTTGCAGGTATAATGAATATTCACAGACATAAAATATAAAATGGAACATTTGTTCCTTAATTAATATGACATACAACAGATTTACCATTCCATGAAAAATCAATTTTAGTTGTTTGAGTCGATCTGCTAACATCCACATTAGACAATAAAGAACACCAAACTTCCCTGCAGTTGAGCATTCTTCTGATTACTTTATATAGGTGCTTGTTCCCCCTCCTGTGCTGTTAATAGGTAACAGTTGTTCACAGCAGCGATATACTGAAATGTTAGTACTTAGTGTTCAGCCTTACATGCGTGTTGAAAAATAAAATTATCTGTTTCTATGGTAGCCACCAGCCCCCTGCTGGGACTCATCATGACATGGGGAGGTGGAGCCCAGCACCCAACATCCTGAAACTACTATATGGCACAGTCCTGGTAGTCTCCTGCAGCTAGTGTAGGAGGAGGAGATATGGGGTACCTCTTTACTTATGTTGTTCAGTAACATTTTCAATAGCAGAAAGTTTATGTCATTGGAAGAAATGATATGCAGAGTGGCTTTATGAAAATTTGTAGCAAAAGACTTTTAATTTAAAAGATATTTGTCTTGCTTTAAATTGACGACTAATTACTTGAAAACTTTTATCCTAGGAAACAGATTCTGCAAACTTTAGGCCAATGAAATTGACATTAATTCCTGTGAAAATCCTAGACTAGATCATTAAAGAGATGCTTGGTGAATATCTAAAAAGGGAAATGGTGATTACCAGGAGCCAAAATGGCTTCATCAAGAATGGGTCCTACAAACTAACCTAATTTCCTTTTTTTTAAAAATAAGATTACTAGACTAGTAGGTGAAGGGAATGCTGTAGATAGAGTTCATGTATATTTTAGCAAATCTGAAGAAGTATCCCATATAATCCTTGTGGATTAGATGGAGAGGTGTGGACTAGGCAGCGCTTCTTAAACTGTGGGTGGCGACCCCATATGGGGTCACAAAAAGTTTGGCAACAGTAAAAGGTTTCTGAATGCACAATGACCAAAAATTAATTCAAAATCAAACACGTAATGAATCCAAGGTGTTTCTGGCGGCGCTTGCCTGTGTTGCTTCAAGCTACTTCAACTGAAGCCTTGGTTCTGAACACAGAGCATGCACACTTTGCACTGCATATGCTCTCAGACCACACAACACCAACTAAGAAGCCCTAGACTAGAGGATAGGACATTTAGATGAATTCAGAACTTGATGGATGGCCAAACTCAAGGAGTAATTCTTAATGGTTCAATGTCATTGTGGTAGTAGATCTCCAATGCGGTATCCAGGGGTCTGTACTTCTTCCCAAGCTATTTAACATTTTATCAGTGGCCTGAATAAAGACAAAACTGGATAAGACAAAGCTGAGATGTAATTAGATCCAAAAAAGTCTTGAAAAGTTAGAACATTGGCCTAAGTAATATGAAATCTAGTAGGATAAATGAAAAAGTATTTACATGTTGAGTACAAAAACATCAACTTCACCAGTGCAGTATTGGGCAAGAATAGTTAGACCGAAGTTCTGAAAAAGATCTGAAGGTTTTAATGGATTGCAAGCTCAGTATAAGTCAGCAGTGTGATGTGGCATCCAAAAACCTAATGCCAGCATGGGCTGCATTAAGAGAAACTTAGCTTCCAGGCATTAGGGAGATGTCAGTCTCACTTTTATTTGCCTGTGTAACACCTCATCTAGAGTATCCTATTTAGTTCTGGGCGCCAGAGTTGAAGGACGTTGATAAGGGGGAGATTGTACACAGAGCATCTAGGAGAGTAAAGAGCTTGAGTTCATGTCTTAAGAGGTTTAGCTGAAGAAACTAGACACCTTTAGTCTGGAGAAGAGAAGATTCAGGAAGGACTATTAGATTGTGAGCTCCTGGAGAGCAGGGACTGGTTTTTTTTTGTTTGTTAGGGGGTTTTTTTGCCCTTTTTTATATCCCCAGCCCTTAGCACAGTGCCTGACACATAGTAGGCACTTAATAAATGTTTCTTGATCAATAATATAGCTGTCTTCAGATAGGAGGGATTGGGTCTCTTCTTTTTGACCCCAGAGAGCAGAACCAGGAGCAGTGGTTGAAAGTTCGAAGAGGCTGATTTGGGCCCGTCAGGAAAAGCTTCCTAACAGTTAGAAATGTCCAAGAGTGAGAAAGGCTTTCTGGAGGTGTCCGGTTCCCCTTTCTTGGAGGTCTTTAAGCAAAAACTGAGTGACCGCTTGTCAAGTTGTTATAACAGGAATTCTTTTTGAGTATGGATTGGACTATGTGACCTCCGAGGTTCCTTTTAACTCTAAATCTGTGATCC